CAAACGTTTGCGAGGACTGTTTCTGTGCTGGATTGACAAACATAATCAAAACTAGAACAAAATTATCGAAAATGAATGGTTACCACCAGCCTGATTTGAGCACTAATAAGACAGTGAACGCGCCATGCTTGTAATTGGACAGTGTAACAGGACAAATTAACCTCATGTGCACGCGCTGTTGCGCGCATTTCGCCTCGTTAAAATTCAACTGGGCCCTATTGTTGTTGTTTTTGTTTTGGTTAATGAAAGTGCATAACCTATGACAAGTTTCAAACTCAAATGTTGTCATAATTTTGATTAACTTCCTTTTCGCGTTCATCCACTCAGTCAGTTGGACCCCACTCAGTCCTATTACCATTATAAACCGAATGCGGGTTGTATATATATATAAAGCTCGATAAAAGCGCTAGGGTACAAATACTTGGAAGGGCACAAATATGTTTAACGGTCCAGCAAGTGTTAGGCGTTCAATATGTAAAACAAGACCTGGATCAATATCAGTATCTGGGCAACCGCCCACCTACCCTTCCCTTAACTCAACAACAGTCAATTGATAACAAGTTAGGGTTAATGTTGGGTTAGGCGAGGGGTAGGTGGGCAGTTGCCCAGATACTGATATTGACCCCAAAGCTCTTTAATAAACAGCGGTGAGCTAAAGTCAGGGCAGTGCGGGAATTTATGAGCATAGTTAGGACGTTTCCTAGTGATAAAATTTTCAACTTATTCAAAGGGAGAGGAATCATTCAAACCTAAATTTGGTCTTACGTAATGAAAATGCTGCTATCTGCTACCACACAGCAGGAGACATAAAAAAGAAGATCATGAAAACCTGAAATTTATTTCGCAGAATAAATTTTTTGTAAGTTTGTAAAGGTCGCTTTTACTACCTTGATGTGAAAACATCAAAGTTTGTAAAGGAGCAGATTATCCCGAAATAGCCAAATAGATTTTGAAACTGTGTAGCTTCATCAAAATATAAAGAGAAGAAAACGTCCTCGTAGGCATCTATCCAGAATTATGACCTGTTCATCAGACAAAAATGATATTTATTTGAACTTAGCA